CAATCCTTCTCAGCAGGGCTGCTCTCAATCCCTCCATCCCCCAGCCTGGATTGATACCGGGGGTTGCCCCGACCCAGGTGCAGAACCTTGCACTTGGCCTTGTTGAACCTCATGAGGTTCACACGGGCCCAATTCTCGAGCTTGTCCAGGTCCCTGTGGATGGCATCCCGCCCCTCTTGCAGACGTTGGATGCAAGGTGTGCTCTGGGGTTCAGAGCTGTCCTGCTGTGCTGCGGGTGGGACCTGCCCGCAGGACCCGTATCTCCCAACATGTCCTCAGAGTCCCAGCAGCGTGTCTAGCTGAAGCCTTCCCCTGCACCACACTGCCTGCTCCGAAGGGACCTTCCATCCACTGTGGGCCTTGCTATCGCATCCCATCCCTGGGTGTATGATGTCTACTCCCTCCTTTCCTCTACCCTCTGTGTTTAGGAGCAGAAAGCTTCTTGACCTGTCCTCAGGGTAGCAAAATCATGGAGCAGAGCCTGCCAGACGTGGTGCCTGCTGCTCCCCATGAGCTCCGACTGCTCCTGTCCCGGTTCACGCCAGGCTTTGCTGCACTTTGAGCAATGCAGGGCTGTTCCTGGCTCTGGGGAGCAGGACGGAAGGGCTTGTCTGCTTGTTTATGCTTCCAGCAGCCCCTAATCCCTGTCACAGGGTTTCCATGTGGGAGAACATGTTCTGGGACCATGCCACGTGCCTCTCCGCTCTCTTGTGCGAGTCCTCTGGCTCCAGCCGGGTGGCTTTGCTGCTTGTCTTGCAGTGTGCTTCCCCACTGTTGGGCAGGGCCAATTTTGGGACAGTGACTCCAAGGCAGAGATTTCCTGAAGGAGATGGCTCTGCTGTCGCTCAGGGCTGCTCTCCAGGGGCTGGCAGTGCTCCTGGGTGAGACCTCGGGTCTGCAGGCTGGGGTTAGGGTGTCAGCAAGAAGGTTTAGCTTCTCAAGCTCAAGGAGGATCTCATGACTTGGCCAGAATCCCCCTGGGCTGTCAGAGCCCTGTCATCTCAGTGGCAAAGAGCTTGGCCTTGAAATTACATCCGAGGTCAGCTGGAGTTGAAGCTGAGACCTTGTTTGTAAGTTGTTGGCTAATGCCAAGGCGCAGCAGAGCGTGGGGCAGCTGAGCTGCAGCAGGGCATACTATGGCTTGATGCACCCTGGGTCTGGAGGAGCTCCTTGCTTCATGGTCTGGCCACTGGTGCCTGTAGGGTGGGGAGGTGTTGGGATGAGGTTTGGTGCTCCACCACAGTGAGGATCGTGGGCTGGTGTCATCCGAGACGGAGCACCCAGTCCCACCAGGGCTGACCTTATCCTTGCCGTGGGGTGGGCTGTTTGAGAGCAGCTCTGGACCCTGGGACAGAGCATCCTCCCTGTGCTGCCTCAGGGCCTCCAGGTCACACTTGCCTGGATGTTGAAACCCCATTGCCTTCCGTGAGCAGGTTTGGGGCACCTGACTGGCCAGCAGAGCTGGCGCTGAGCAGCGTTTGATCCATTGGCAGTGGGATGGCGCGGGAAGAACAGGGTCCGATGTCAGGCTGGCGGCAGGGGAGCCTCGGAGCTGCCCTGGCCACCAGGGTGGGGTTGTGGGGGGGTTGCTGACCTGGCCCTTATCTTCCCTGTTTCTCTTCTTAGCTCCTGCACCTCTGCAGCCGAGAAGGAGATGGGAGGTGAGTGACCCAGCCTCTCCTGCTGACAGGAGATAGCCTGAAGGTCCAGCTGATCCGGGCACTGTGGGCCTGGTGTGAGGGAAAGACCCAGCTCCCACAGCCTCAAAGCATGAGCTGGATGAAGATCATCTTGGTTCTTGGCCAACCCTGCTCCTCAGCAAAGGCTGAGCCCCTGCTCAGGCAATAGAGCAGGCAGGGCGCATTGCAGCCCTCAGGGGTTCTTTTGAGGTCCAAGACAGAGCCCCTCTCCCCTGCGCCCACAGCAGAAGCTCCCAGGAAGGCTTGTAGGAGCTCAGCAGGGTTGTGTGGCCCATCTCCATCCTCTTCCACCCCAGGAGCAGAGCAAAGGGAGAAGCAGTACCGAGCCCATCGGGGATTCGGGGATCGCCGCGGTGGGGTCATCAGTGCCCGCACGTATTTCTACGCTGACGAGGCCAAGTGTGACCAGCACATGGAGACTTTCCTCCACTGCATTGACGCCTCAGGTAAGTGCTCCACATGTCCTCAGCAGCCCCACTGTGCTTGGGGACTGCAGGGACCCTGCAGCCCACCGCCATATCTCGGGTACCTCCCTTCTGCCCAAGCACTCTGCCTGTTGGGCTAGCTCTGTCTTTGTGGCTCCATCCAGGTGGCACATGTCATGTCCTCAGCAGCCCCACTTGGGGACTGCAGGGACCCTGCAGCCCACCGCCATATCTCGGGGACCTCCCTTTGCCCAAGCAACTCTGCCTGTTGGGCTAGCTCTGTCTTTGTGGCTCCATCCAGGTGGCAGCTCAGAGGACGCCCCGCCCCACCCCCCCCACCCCCCGCCATATCTCGGGTACCTCCCTTCTGCCCAAGCACTCTGCCTGTTGGGCTAGCTCTGTCTTTGTGGCTCCATCCAGGTGGCAGCTCAGAGGACGGCTTCTCGGCCATCAAGCTGACGGCGCTGGGCAGACCTCAGTTCCTGGTGAGTGTCAGGGCTGTGACCAGGGCAAGGTGGGTCAAAGCCAGGGCCACGGATGATGCATCTTGGGGGGGCAGGTGCTTTGGGGTTCCAGGCTTGCTGCAGTGGCATCTCTACTGATGGCAGAGAGGAGTGGGCACCAACAGGCTGTCCCCCGTGTGCCCAAGAGCACCCTGGAGATCCTGTCTCAACTTTTGGGGACACAGGAAGAGCTCAGAAGGTTAGAGGCCCCAATGTGAGGGTGTGGGGGGGTCTGTACTGCTAGGCTTGGCCCCTGCTTGGCCAAGGTCCCCTGCTATAGGGTCAGGGTCTGCCTCAGGCTGGGCACGATCCTGCAAAGCCTCCACCGCAGGAGGCTCTGAGACAGTTGGGCTCCAGCCCGGGTGTCTCACCTCGAGCTCTGTCCCCGCAGCTGCAGTTCTCAGAGGTGCTGGTGAAGTGGCGGAGGTTCTTCCACCAAATGGCCGCAGAGCAGGGCCAGGCTGGGCGGGCAGTGCTGGAGATGAAGCTGGAGGCGGAGAAGCTGCAGGTGAGGCAGGCAATGTCCAAGGGAGGAGGCTGTGCTGCCGGGGATGCACTGCTGGAGGTGGCCGGTGGCCATAGGGACCCCGGAGCAGCCCTGACCTGTGAGACCTCTGAGCCTGGAGCAGTAAGACCCCTGTAGCCCCTTGGCACTGATGCTCCTTTTGGTGGCAGGAGGCCCTGGCCAACCTCGGCATCGCGACCAAGGCGGAGAGCCAGCACTGGTTCACAGGCGAGAACCTGGGTGTAAGCGGGTAAGCTGCCTGCGACCTGGGGCGTGCAGTGGGATGGGGACACTGGGGGACCTTGTCCCTGTTCGTGGGGCAGCAGCAAGGAGAGGTCTCCAAAGGCCAGCACTGGCTCAGCACAGCGACCAGGCAAAGAGGAGGTTCGGGTGGAGGTGACAAGATGGGTCAGGGTGGCATGTGCTGTGCACCTGGCTCGCTGGTGGGGGTTGGCAGCTGGTAGAGACCCCCCTGCCCCTGCAAGACACCAGGACAGACCTGGCTCTCTGCTCCCAGCACTGTGGACCTGCTGGACTGGAACAGCCTGATCGACAGCCGCACCAAGCTCTCCAAGCTGCTGCTCGTCCCCAACATGCAGGTGGGTACCCATCTCTGCCACCCCTGGAGTGGCCCCACAGGGAGGGTGCTGTCAGTATGGGTCAGCCCGTCCCCGTCCCCCGTTCTGGTCCCCTGCTGCTGCTCCAAGGTTAGGGTGCTGCAAGGACTCATCCTTCTGTGTAGTTTGCCTCCTCCCTGCCGTTGCCTACCAACACGTGCCTCCCTGGTGCGAGTTTGCCTCCTGTGGGCAGGGCTGGCCGCAGGCAGGCAGGGTGCCACAAGCTGTTCTTGTTTCAGACTGGGCAGCTGGAGCCTTTGCTCTCACGCTTCACTGAGGAGGAGGATCTGCAGATGAAGCGGATGCTGCAGCGGATGGACGTCCTTGCCAAGGTCAGGGGGTGCTGGGGCTGGGGGAGCTGGGCACGGGCACCACCGCAGAGAGGGAAGGTGCGTGGCAGGTGGCCCCATCAGACCAACCTGCATGTCGTTCACACCGCCAGAGAGCCACGGAGAAGGGCGTGAGGCTGATGGTGGACGCGGAGCAGAGCTACTTCCAGCCAGCTATCAGCCGCCTCACCCTGGAGATGCAGCGCCGCTTCAACAGGGATCGGGCGATCATCTTCAACACCTACCAGTGCTACCTGAAGGTGAGGTCCAGCAGGAGGCTGGGCAGGAAGGACCTGCTGGCGCAGCTGGATGGAGACCTCAGCTCCTGAAGCCATGGCAATGCGGTGGCACGACTCCAGGGCTGGCTGGCTGGAGGTGCAGGGTGGAGGTCGCACTGACGCGATGGCCCAGTGCCATTTCTTCCATCTGGTCTCAGGAGGCTTACGACAATGTGACGGTGGACGTGGAGCTGTCACGCCGGGAGGGCTGGCACTTCGGCACCAAGCTGGTCCGTGGTGCCTACATGGAGCAGGAGCGGGAGAGGGCAGCCCAGATTGGCTATGAGGATCCCATCAACCCCACCTATGAGAAGACCAACGAGATGTACCACAGGTAGGGTACAGCCCCAGCCACGCTCCTCCTGCCCGCCCCACCAGGCACAGGCTCGGGCAGCCTCACCATGCAGCCCTGTACTGTCCTACAGGTGCCTGGACTATATCCTGGAGGAGATCAAGCACAGCCGCAAAGCCAACGTGATGGTGGCATCTCACAATGAGGACACGGTGAAGTTCACCCTGCACAGGTGGGTGCTGGGGAGGCAATGTGTCATGGCAGGGACTGGGGGCTCGAGGGATTTGGGGGCCCAGCAGAGCTGCAGTGAGATGTGCTGTGGCTTGTCGGGTCTCCTCTGCACTCACTTGGTGGGTTCCTAGCTCCCATCTGGTGCTCAGGGCTTCAGTTGGGGCTTGGAGCTGGGGTGCAGCACGGTAGCCCACAGCGGCTGCAGAGCTGGCCCCCATGGCCCAGCCCAGAGGCTGTTTTAAAAACAAATCCCTCAAGTCCTTGCATCCCAGCATCAATGTGGGACGTGGTCAGTGCCGTGCACTCGTACTTGGAGATGATCCCTGCTCCCCTCGTGGGACACGCTGCCCCTGCGTGCTCTGCTGTCTCTGCTCTTCCCTAACACGGAGGCTTGGCTTGCAGGATGATGGAGCTCGGGATCCATCCCTCAGAGAAGAAGGTGTACTTCGGGCAGCTGCTGGGCATGTGTGACCAGATCACCTTCCCCCTGGGTGAGTGCTGGGAGCAGGGGGGGACTTGGCAGATGTCCTCCTGCCCCACCTTGACCCCTGGGGTTTCCCTGAGCAGCTGCTGTGGGGTCTGAAGGATGGATGGAGCCGGGCTATGGGTCTGTCAGAGGGCAGGACTGGCTGAGGACAGTGCCTTCTTGCCTCTTCCCCAGTTGTGTGGAGTGCTGTGACCCCTGCATGGGGTTTGGGGAAGATGTAGATCAGGATGTAGATAGAGAATCACATCTGTCTCCTGGAGGCCCCATGAGACCGTGATGGCTGGGCAGGGAGATTCCTGCTTTGGACTACGAGCTGAGATCGGGGTACTCCTAGATGGGGCAGAGATGGGTCCTGGCAGCCAGCAAACCCTTCTTATACCTCCTTGGTCTGGGCATGTCGCTCTGCTCCACTGGAGGTGCACACCACATCCTGGGCTCTCTGCTAGCGGGGTGGCAACAGGTTCTTGTGTGACCTTGTCCTCTCCTCTGCCGCTGGCCCAGGCAGCGGAGCAGAGCTCCCAGGGGCCCGGACAGAGGGACATGCAAGGGTCTAGGTAGCCCAGCTTAGGTCAGGGACTGATCCCCCTGCCCACACCAGTGTCCGGAGCAGAGACCCGAGGCCAGGAGAGCAGCGGGAGGCAGACCGGGCAGATGTCCAGCATAGATGCTGCTCTGTCCTGGAGTTCCCCTCGCAAACCGGGTTTGGCTGCCTGTCTGCAACCTCCTCTGGTCATGCTGGAAAAATGTGTTAACTTGATGTTTCTGGTTGAATGCTTCTTGAATTGGCCCGGCCCTGGCTGCTGACATTCCCAGGGCTCCTGGTGACCTCCGCCCGCTCCCCCCGGCGCGTTCCCAAGCTCCCCGTGCTGAGCCGGGGGAGGGATGCACCGCCGCTCCCCCCAGCCCGGGCAGGCTCGGCCGCGTCTGGCCAGGGCCACTCTCAGGCTTCCCCTCCCCAGTGCTCAGCTGCAGCCTCTGGCCGCTGCAACCCTCCCACCCGCCATCCCTTGCTCCATCGGCACAGCCCGAGGGGCATGGAAGAGCTGGGAGTAAGGGAGGCTTTTTTCCTTTTTTTTTTTCCCCCCACTTTTTGCCTTTCCCCTCACATACACACACACTCTTTTTTCCTTTTCTCTTTTTTTTTCCTTTTTCCATTCTTTTCCTTTCTTGGTACTTCCCTGACCTGCCTCTCTCCCTCCAGGTCAGGCTGGCTTCCCCGTCTACAAGTACGTGCCCTACGGCCCAGTGAACGAGGTGCTGCCCTACCTGTCCCGGAGAGCCCAGGAGAACAGGGGCTTTGTCCAGAGGGCGAACCGGGAGCGGGACCTTCTCTGGAGGGAGGTCAAGAGGCGGCTCCTCGCGGGCAGCCTCTTCGGCCCCAGCCACTAACCCCAACTGTGGCATCCAGCCCAGGGTCTCACGTACCTTCACCTATAACCACTATTGCCATTCCCTGTCCTAGTTCTGCTGCAGTTTCCCCCCCCCAGCACCCTTTGCCCTGGGAGGGGAAGTGTCCTTGTTGCTGTTTGAACCACATACACCTTCTGGAGGTCACTACCGTAGGGTTGCCCCAGCTGGCACTGCCCTAAGGGATGTCCCTCTGCCATCCCAGGGGCTCTTGAGCTGTGCTTGCCCTGGGCTGTCTCTGGGGGGAGAGAGATGCTGGCGTTCCCCTGCCAGCCTTCCCCCACGTTGGTGAATGCTGTCCCAGGGTCTTCCCCTTGTGGGATTGCACAGGGAGATTTGGCTGCCTGCTTTGTGCCACGGGCTCAGGTCCAGGGCGGGCTGGGTGGCTCGGGGACAAGCTGGCCTCAGCCAAAAGCTCCTCCAGCCTCTGCCAGGGCTGGGGCTTGGTCTCTTCCAGCTCCATGGAGGCAGATGCCAAAGCAGAGGCCGCAGTGACGTGTGAAGGGTCACTGGGCAGGGGCAGAATGAGTCCCTGCCGCCTGTCCCAGGGCAGCCACTACCTGGCTGCTCACCAGTTTTGCACAGACCAGAGCTGGGCAGGTCCTGGGCAGGACCAGGCTCTCTCCCCATCCCACCGCCCTGAGCAGAGCCAAAGCTGCCCAGGGTTGTCCATCCTCAGGCACACGTCCAGTGGGGCAGGAGGGGCGAGAGGAGCTGGCCGGCCCCATCCCCATGCTGTTCCTGCCCTGCCCACAGTCCCCGGCTCTGATGCTGGACCAGGTCTGCTGCAGGCAGGGGTGGTGGCCACATGGGAGCACCAGGAGCCGGACCGCAGCTCAGCTCTGCCATACACTGGATTTGTAGAGAATGGTGATGATTAAATCATAACTGTTTTTGCTCCTGTCTCTTTGTTGGAGTTACTGGGCAGCTCTCTGTCCCTGGGCTCTGCTTCACTACCCTGCTCTCAAAGGGGGGGTTAGTGCCTGCTCTCAGCCCCCTCCAGCTGCACGCTTTGGCCTGAGCCGGGGCCAGGGCTGGGGGAAAGGAGCCAGAGACGGCTGCACTGAGTGAGGCCAAACTTCCCCGGGCCTGGGAATGGGGAAGCTGCGGAGCTGTCCATGATGGCCTTGAGGGAAGCTGGGAGCCCTGAAGCATCCTCAGCTGGCCCCAGCACCCTGCTGCTCATGAAGGGGGGGTGGCAGCTGTGAGAGAGCCTCTCCCCGCCCTGAGGTCTGCTTTTGGGGGACATGCACCCTGCAGGCTTTCACTGCCTCAAATTAGGGGCAGTTTCTCCTGGACTCATTTTGGGCTCTGCAGGACCATGAGCACCTCTGGGCTTCCCTGCCTGCCAGCTATAAGGCAGCATCTTTTTCCCTGGGTTGTTCTCTCCACTTCTGGCAAGCCACCCAAGCCAAAGGGGTGAAGTTTAGGCTTTCCAGAGATGTTCACCTACTGCCTTTTTCTCTAGCTGAGACTCCCATGCCTTAAAAAACACCTGGAGCAGCAGGGAACATGGCTGGAGCATGGGGCCGGGGCTGCTGCTATATAAAAGCAGTGCCGGAGCAGGCAGCAGCTGGGCTCCTGGTATTTTGGGGAGGAGAGGAGATGCACTCCCGGCACCGGGCTGCCTCTCCAGCCTGTGCAGGATGCTGCGGCAGTGGCATGGGGCGTGCTGCTGCCCCATGGCCTGAGCTCTGCTGGTGCGGCTGGACCCGGGGCTGGATGCATGAGCAGCTGTCATCTGCTGCAGGCTTCTGCAAAGACCCCCGGCCACCTGCATAGCTATTGCAGGAGCAGATGCTGCAGCTTCCATGCCAGCAGCTTCATGTATCTGTACATGGCTGGTCTTGACCCCCCCCCTTTTTTGGAATTAACCCCCTCTCCAGCCCTCCTTCCAGGACAGAAAGGACTTGTGCACCTACAGGCAGCTCCGCAACATGCCTCTGCAGCGCGTGTGCTGCTGTTTGCAGGGGCTGTGTATGGGGTCAGGGTGCAGGGTGCTTGCCTCCTGCCTTACCCAGGGCACTGGATGCCCTTGAAACCCCCCAAATCCCCGTGTTCCCAGCAACCTTTATCCATGCTCAGCCAGAAAACAGCAACCGCTCCTTTTATTTCTGAGTGCATTGACCCAACCAAACCCTCCCTATATCTCAGGCTTTCCCCACCCTGCTCAGTTTTAGCTCTTGCTGCTGGAAGCTGCTTTCTGCTTGTCCCAAAGGAAAGGGAGGCATGAAACAGTGGCGGGTATGCCGGTAGCCCGTGCTGCAACACGCTCGCTTGCAAGGATGCTGGCTACAGCAGCAGGGGGAGTTGCAAGGGGAAAGAGCCCGTATCCTTGCAGCAACCATCTCGGCAGCCTTGCGCTCAAATGCCGTGAGCAGCCCAAGCGCACACGTGAGCGGGGGCTTCTTCCAAGAAGCAGAGCCTGGCCGCATCCCGGCAGGATGGTGACGAGTGCCTCGTATTGTATGACTCCGCGCTGCCCTGCCGTGCAGTCCTGCCCGCTGAAACAGCTGCAGGGATTTTTGAACCATTGACAAAACAACATATTTTTCCTCATTTTTGTGTTCAGAAATACTATAGTGCTGGGGTTTCTTTTTTCTCTGATGTTTTCCAAAACACAGTTCAATGGGAGGCAAGCACCTGGCAGGGCATTTCCAGCCTGAAAACTGAAAAAGGAGCTGCAAACGGTGGTGTAATGGAAAGCATCATGCCGTGCTCCCAGGGCGCTGGCACAGGCAACAGCCTCGCTGGCACCAGAGGGAGAGGCAGGATGGGTGGCTGATACCCGTGGGACGTGCAATCCCCCAGCCCTGGCAGCACCAGCCAGCCCAGACCATGCCACTCCCCTGAGCACCGTAAATCCTCCCTCCACCTCCTCCCCGCAGCATCCTCAGCAGCTTCTCCAGCCTCTGGCTACCAGCCGGCAGCATCTTCCGAGGGACCAGCTTATCTCCCCGGCTACGGCCCAACCCCTGCCCTGGTGTGGGTTAGAGCTGGTGAAAACGGAGCAGCACAGGATCTGCTGCCTGCCTGCCTGCAGGAAGAGAAAACTGTTTACTGAAGCCAGAAAACTGACAAAATCAAACACATCCTTGCACAAAGCAACAGCGTGGTAAAGGCATGGCGGTGCGAGCCTGCCCTGGCTTATCGGGAGTGGGGCAGAGGAGCACCAGGCATGCTCGGCACAGCGGGAAGGTGATGGAGAGAGCAGATAGGAAGGGAATCCTGGTTATGGAAACAGCCGGAGCGAAGCCACAGCTCCAGGTGGACACAGCTGCCAGGCGAGGCATGGGGATGCGACTGCCAAGCCTGGCTTCCCGCCTAACTTTGGAGTGAACTCCCTCCCCAACCTGCTCACCCAGACAGAAAGGGATGCTGAGCTCAACCCGGGGCTGAGAGTCATCCCGGGGGAACTCCTCACACATCAGTGCAGCTGGGTCACCACGGTCTCGGCATTCCTGCCCTGGCCATGGGGGCCGAGCAGGGCCACCCGCGTGTTTCTGGGCACCCTCCAGACAGGTCCTGCGAGCAGGACAGGGTGAATTGGGGGACAGGGATGTGGAGGCAGGGGAAGCTGGGCAAGGGATGCTGCTTCCCAGTGCTGCTGTGGAACATGTGGAAGGGGTCTGGGGGAACGTGAAAGGTGCTGGGGCTGCAGAGGGGAAAAAGGAGGACTACCCAATGGTCACAAGCCCATTTGAAAGCTCAGGTCTGAAAAGGAAAGTTGGTGGGTTATACTGGGTAAACCATCAGACCTTTCCTCTGCACCAAGGATGCTGCCAGTGGGATGTCGGCCACAATGTGCTGATACACCCGTGGCACAGGGAATGGGGAAAAGGCAATCTCAGGCAAGGCCACTGCCATCCGAGTCCCCACCGGTGGCCCGATGCCAATGTCACTCAGTGGGAAGGAGGAATGCGCTAGGCTTTGCCTTCCCAGCTTCATGCCACGGAGGGTCCTGGCTGCTCTCTGCTGTGGCATCACACACGCAAAGGCCACAGGGCACCTGGGCTCGCTGCACCCTGCCAGAGAAGGTGCTGAACCAGGATGTTACAAATCCGGACTGTCAAAACTGCAGGTTGTCGGTGGCTTCTGGGGCAGACTCCAAAAGCCAATGCAAAGAACACACATTGGCAGGGGGCAGTCCTGTAGATTTGAAACCGTCTCTGCACTTTGCACAAGCTACTGCCCATGGCTGGGCATTGGGAGGTCAGTGAGACTCTCACATGCACATTTATTGGGATATAACTGCAAAAAAGAATAATTCCCACTGGCAAGACCAGCAGAGACTTCCCCATTCCCACCTCTTGTCTGAGCAGGAGAGAAACCTTCCCTGCACATCAGCCCCATGTACAGCAAACACCGAAGGATGTTGGTGGTCAGAACCCACCAAACTCATCTACTCTTTGCTCGGTGAAGGGATCCTAGGGCTGGGAAGGTGCTCAGGACACCACCCAGGACTCCCTAATCCTCTCCAGAAGGATGCTCCCAACCCATGCCTAGTATGATGGAGGCTCCACATCCACAGGAAAATCCCGGAGGTGTGTGGCCCTCAGACCCAGCTCTGCGGGAGATGCACACTGTCCATACACCCTTCCACAGCTCCTTGGATGCAGCCAGCACTCAGCAGGAGACTGATGCAGCTATTTAGCTGCCTGTGTGCTACCACACAGGGATGTCCTCCATCCATGCTTCTGATGCAGCTATTTAGCTGCCTGTGTGCTGCCACACAGGAGAGGGTTGGGATGTCCTCCATCCATGCTTTCACCATACAGCTATCGGATGTTCCTGGAGCTCAGACAAGAGCCGGATCCCCTGGGCAGCCGGACCCCAAGGCTGTCAGGCAACCAGGACTGCCAGAA